AGTCTGGGGGGCATCAGGGGGGTGGAGAGGAAGGAGGGTGCTGGAGGGGTGCAGAAGGGATTGGGAAGGTGAGGGGTGCAGGGTAGCACCTCCATCCTGGGACCTGTCCCCGCAGTGTGGGCTCACACACCTACCCTTGCACCCCAAGATCTGGTGGGGGTCCCCCCCAAGTCGCTGTCCCTGACAAAAGGGGGCTGTGGGGGGCAAACGATGCTGCACTTGGATATCACTAAATTCACCTCTGTAGCGTCTGCCCGGGACACAGGGATCTGACGAACCCTGGGGTGTAATTGTGCCCCTTCATTTGGGGTGTAGCTGCTCTTGGTGGCTGTGTTGACCAGGAGCAAGCTTACAGCAGCCCTGCCACCCGCACTAATCCACGCTAATTAATTTCCCCGATAACATCCCTGTGTAAACCCAGCCTTAGGGTCCCCTCTCCGGGCTTGCAGGAGCGCGTGGGGTCACCCCAGCTGCCAGCTCAGCCCAGGGCGCCCAGGGGCACCCGAAATTTGTCCCTGGCCATGGCCAGGAGAACATTCTGAGCCCATCCACGATGCCCAGGAGCACCCAAAATCTGTCCCTTTGCAGCGGGAGAGCTTGGGCTCTTGGGGTCACCCCCAGGGTGATGGCACAGGTCACTCAGGCAGCACCAAAACGAGCTCAGGCCGGGGATCATTAACCACAGACATGTGTTGACTTAATCATTACCAGCACATTTACGCTTCCAAAACCGTTTCTGAAGCAATTCCCTTTCTCTTTCCTCCACGGCCCAGCACCAGCTCCACTCCCGGGTTAAAAGGGAAAAACAATTGGGGAATAATCAGATTTAACCCCGTATTGATGAGAACTGGTCTGTACATGGAGATCTCTTCGTGCAGCTCAAGCAATGGTCCCCCGGGACCATTTTGGGACCGCTCTGACTTAAACAAGTCAAAACTCATTTACAGGACAGGCTAACGTCTCAACAGTGAGTTTTGTCCCTAATTAGACAAACTCATCAGTGCCTCCCACTCTGCAGGACGGCTGGAGGAGCTCCAGCCTCTCCTCTCAGCGCCTTCCAAGCGGAGCCGATGCTCAGTTTGCTCATTAACAAAAGCAAATATTCTTGCAAAACCCAAAAGCTCCCGCAGCAAACTGTCCTGCTTTCTGGGGAAAGGGGATTTAACCCCGTATTGATGAGAACTGGTCTGTACATGGAGATCTCTTCGTGCAGCTCAAGCAATGGTCCCCCGGGACCATTTTGGGACCGCTCTGACTTAAACAAGTCAAAACTCATTTACAGGACAGGCTAACGTCTCAACAGTGAGTTTTGTCCCTAATTAGACAAACTCATCAGTGCCTCCCACTCTGCAGGACGGCTGGAGGAGCTCCAGCCTCTCCTCTCAGCGCCTTCCAAGCGGAGCCGATGCTCAGTTTGCTCATTAACAAAAGCAAATATTCTTGCAAAACCCAAAAGCTCCCGCAGCAAACTGTCCTGCTTTCTGGGGAAAGGGGATTTTCTGCTGGAAAAACGTTACGGTGGAAAATCCCCCCCCCTCTGCTGGAGATCTGTCTGAGATCTGGTACCGATTTGGGCTGTAAAACGCTGGATTTCGACGTGGCCGAGGTTCAGCTTTGAAAATCCCGAGCGTGGAAGGGGAGTGGCACTAATCAGATGCGAAGTCACAGGTGGAGAGAGGGAACGTGCTGGCAGGGGGACAGCCCGTGTCCCCAGCGCCCTGACTCCTTCAAGGGCTCACAGGACAGAGCAGCCGTCGCCTCTCGCCGAGGGGGAAAGCTCTTCCCAAACCAGGACAGAGCAGCCGTCGCCTCTCGCCGAGCAGGAAAGCTCTTCCCAAACAATTTCACTGAATTTCACTGAATTTTTAGAGTTGGAAGGGACCATAGAGATCATCTAGTCCAACTCCCCTGCTGAAGCAGGATTGCCTAGAGCTTGTCAGAGCATGTTACTCAGGAGCATCCAGGCGGGTCTTGAAAATCTCCAAGGAAGGGGACTCCACACCCTCCCTGGGCAGCCTGTTCCAGGGCTCTGCCACCCTCACCGTGAAGAAGTTTCTCCTCAGATTTGAGTGGAACCTCTTCTGGTCCAACTTGTGCCCGTTGCCCCTCGTCCTCTCACTGGGAACCACGGGAAAGAGTCTGGCTCCCTTCTCCTGCAACCCTCCCTTGAGATACTTGTAGGCATTGAGAAGGTCTCCCCTCAGCCTTCTCTTCTCCAGACTAAAGAGTCCCAGCTCTCTCAGTCTCTCCTCATAAGGGAGATGCTCCAATCCTTGAATCATTTGGGTTTAAATCCTATTTCTCTGCTCTTCCTTCAGAGCTCTGGTGGAGCGAGAGGCTGCTTTTGGCTTCGCTGCAGGTGACACGAGGCTTTGGGAACCCTGGGTTGGTGTCCCCCTGCCCTGGGATCTCAAGCAGGTCACTCAGTCTGGCCGTGCCTCAGTTTCCCCAAGTGTGACTCGAAGGTTACGCTCATTTCTGGGAGGAAAAGGGCAGGTTCTGGGGATAGTGGGATGCAGGTTACTGGGATAGTGGGATGCTGGTAGGACGCAGCCCCTCTCCCCCACAAGGTGGGATGCCCTTAGCCACCATCTCCTGGTGCCCGAGCTGGCCCTGGCCCCACCGGGCACCAGTTTCATTAGGGGACCCGCTCACGTCCCAGGGGCCTTTCCCACGTTGGGCCTGTCACACTGAATTACTGCTCCGCTCCTCAGCCCCATGCTCAATAGGCCCAGCCAGCTCCAAACAAAGTCCTCCTCCTCCTCCTCCCTGCTAATCTCCTCCTCTCCCCCCCCTCTCCCTCCCCAACCCCGACTCAGGTAATTAATAAAACAAAGCGGCTGCTCTTCCCCCGGGAGCGGGTCCAGGCTCTATTAACGGGCTCCCCGCGCGGGTGGCAACGGCCAAAGGGCTACAAGAAGCCCGGGTGGAGGGGAGGGGGCAAGATCATGCTGGGAGGGGGGGGCCAGGCCAGGGTGGAACATCCTCAGCCGCTGAATTCACCCCACGGGGTGGAAGGAGCTGGTCCTGGTAGGTCCTGGCAGGAGGACGGTTGTGCTGCTGCCCCTTCAGCTGGTCCTTCCAAGCCAGGGCACGTTTCCAACCATCCCCCTGGGACTTTTGGAGGTGGGTGGCAGGACCAGCACAGCCTTGTGCACCCCGAGTTGTTTCCAGGGACTCCTCGCAGCTTCCCAGCATCACAGCTCTCCCAGCATCTCTCCCAGCATCTCCCCCAGCACTCACCTTCCCTTCACCTTCTGGAAAACAAATCGTATGAGGAGCGGCTGAGGGAGTTGGGACTGTTTAGTGTGAGGAAGAGGAGGCTGAGGGGAGACCTCATCACTCTCTACAACTTCGTGAAAGGACACTGTAGAGAGGTTGGTGCTGGGCTCTTCTCACAGGTAATTAACAATAGAACGAGAGGGAACGGCTTCAAGCTCCAACAGGGGAGGCTTGGATTGAACATTAGGAAGGAATTTTTCACCCAAAGAGTGGTCGGGCATTGGAACAGGCTGCCCAGGGAGGGGGGGGAGTCCCCATCCCTGGCTGTGTTTAAGGGCCGTTTAGATGCAGTGCTGAGGCACATAGTGTAGGGGAGGACTTTGTAGAGTAGGGGAGATGGTTGGACTCCATGATCCCAAGGGTCTCTTCCACCCTGAATGATTCTATGATTCTATGATTCCCAAACCATCCCCCCTGCCTGAGCTGCCTGGCACCCGTCTGCCACACTACACTGCCCTCCCCTAACGACCTCATCCCGCTTTCCCAATTAGCAGAGGCATCCTCTGGTGAGAGCAGCCTCCAAAGCCCAGCGAGGACCGAGATTTTTGGTCACTCTGGCTCCCAAGATGCCCAATCTGAGCTGTCAGTAGCCTAGCACAGAGCAAGCCCTGGAAAGCACAGGCAGCAGGCGCAGGGGTCGGTGCTGGGGGGGAAACAAAAGCCCTGCTGGAAAGGAACTGGTCTTTTCATGTGTTTTAAGCTCAATTCAAGTCCGGAGCCTCCTCCGGACAAAAGGCTTGCAATCTGAGCTGAGCACAGAAATCCAACCCCAAGGGGGAAGAGAGAGAGAACCTGGCCTTGCTTCATTCAAGGCGCCAGCACTTTACTTGTCATTCTTTCTTTAAGGGGGAGCGGGGGCTTGACACGCCTCAGTTTTGTTCTCTCCAGGGTTTGCCAAACAGGGGCAAATCACCTGCAAAAACTATTTGTCCTCCTGAGCCCCTGCTCCATCTGGGTCCCGAAGAACCAGGCAAGGAGAGTTTGAAATTCCAAACCATCTCAAAATCTCCTCTTTTTGTTCTCTCCAGGGTTTGCCAAACAGGGGCAAATCACCTGCAAAAACTATTTGTCCTCCTGAGCCCCTGCTCCATCTGGGTCCCGAAGAACCAGGCAAGGAGAGTTTGAAATTCCAAACCATCTCAAAATCTCCTCTTCCAGAGTGGGAACAACACAGCCCAGAGCTCTGCAACCCAGCGGCCTGGGGGAAATCCCAGTTCAGTGGTGGCTCCTGGGCTTGTGACCCAACTCTGAACCTCTTCTCTATGCAAAACCAACCTTTCAGTTTCTCAGCAGGGCCCAGAGCATCGGCGTTTTTCCTCTGCTGAGACCAGAGCCAGGGAAACGACTCATACCTGTGTTTTTTTCACCCGTTTTTCAGGGCAGACTGGTTCCTCCTGGACAGCCGGACGGTTCGCCACGCGGCCATCGGCTTGTTCTGCTGCGGGGTCTCAGTCTACTTAACAGGCAAGTGCTCATTTCCCACCAGCACAACCCAGCCCAGCAGGAACTGGGCATTTCCAGTCCAGCCCAGTGCACCCCGAGCTGGTCTCTGAGGGCTCGTGAGCTGCTGAGTTTCTACTTCAGCATCGGGTTTGTTTTGCAAATGGCTTTGCCACCTCATTCCCGCAGCATGAACTTTCCGTTCTCGGTGACCAGCCCCTCTTGAGAGCTCCTGTGGCCTGAAGTTTGCATGGCTTTGGTCCTCTTTCTGGTTCCTCAAGGTATTTTTTCTGCACTCTCCTTTCCTTCCAGCTCTCGCCATCTACATGCTGCTGCTGTTTGAGCTGGAGGCCGGCATCGCCAGCGCCTGTATCCTCTCCTCTGGCATCCTCGTCCTGCTCATCACGGTGACACACGCCCTGGTACGGGCTTCCCAGGTCTCACGCCGCAGCCGCTCCGAGGTTTCTCCCACCCTGTATGAAAATGACTCTGCCCAGCAGGGAGAATCCTCCACCAGTGATCTCAACAACAAAAACGCGGCCTCGCCCCGGCCCAGGCCTGAAATCCATCGGGAATTTTCTTTCCCTCCTTTCCTGGAGCGTAAATCCCAGCTGGGATCTCCTGCCAGCAGTAACCTCACCTCCTCGGGCAGCCCCGGGCTCCGATCTGAGAAGGAGAGTTACAACCTGGCCCGGACCCACAGGACGCTGTCGGCAGAGTCGGGGCTGCTGCAGGCACAGGGGACACCCTGGAGCGGCGTCGCGCAGGAGATGAGGAACGTGCTGGCGCGTAAACCTGGAGCCTCGGGCAAGGACTCGACCCTGGTGTGAGTGGAAACGGGGACCTTTTCACCCCACCTCGTCCCCAGGGGAGCTGCAGGCACCAGGGGCCAAGATTTGCATCTGTATTTAGAGCTGAAAATAAGTCACGGCCGCGTTTCCACCCTCCCCCTGGGCTCTGGGCAGCCGCTGCCTGATGCTCTTTGCTTCTTGTACCGAGAAGACGCCACCTCCACTCAAAGCCAAAAGCCCTCAGCTGCCTGCCCCTCATCCCCAGCCCCTGCTGCCACTTGTTACCCCACAAATTAGGATGGGATTGGCAGGGCAGCAGCTGGCAGTGACCCACACGGGACCCCCAGGGCTGCCCCAACTGCAGCAAAGAGAAGAAGCGACCTCATCGAGTTGAGAAGTGGACCTCATCCATGAACAGACCAATTGACCCTCCTTCTCCAGCAGATCCCAGCTGGTTTCTCGGGCTGCCTGGACCTCCCTGCCTCCTTCCTTCCTCCTCCATCCCCAGGAGCCACCACTACATCAAGATGGTTCATACGATCCACCCAGGGGGGGTTGTGCAACAGGGCAGGGGTAAGAAACCGAGGGAGGTGATGGAGAAGCAAGTGAGATGGAAGCAGAGCCGTCTGCAAGATGCAGAGGGTGGGTTTGGGGTGGCAGAGGCCTTGCTGCTCAGTCACCAGTAGGGTCACTTAGCAGGGAAAGGGGCTGTGGTGGGGCAGCCCTGGTGCCCCAGCTTTGCTCAGTGGTGGAGGGACCTCTCTGGTGCTCATCATCCAGGCTGAGGTCTGCGTTGGCGTTGCTCATCCTCTGCTGTGTGCAGGGCAGAAGCACAAGGACTAAAGGCTTCCCCTGTTTCCATGAAACACCAGGAGGTTTTGCTGATAAACTCCTCACTGGTTACACCATACTCTGCCAGCCCTGCCTGGAGCAGCAGCTCACTTGGTTCTTTCCCAATTCCTTATCCTTTATAAAGCATTTCAGTGAGCGAGGGGAGTCACTGATTCAAACAGACCCCCTCTCACCTCCCGTGCCATTATTCTGGAAGACACCTGTTATCCCAAGCACAATAATTTCTTTGGAAACTGAGTGCAGCTCTGCTTTGATCCCTGCATCCTTGGTAAATTCTTCAGGAAAAGAGAACTGTTGGTTCCAGGAGAGATTAACACTGAGGTTGCATCCTTTTTAAAGTGATCTCTGCGTACAGCTCTGCTTCCCACTGCTTGACTGCCAGCCCTGCCTGGAGCAGCAGCTCACTGGGTTCTTTCCCAATTCCTCATCCTTCAGTAAAGCGTTTCAGCCATTTCAGTGAGCGAGGGGAGTCACTGATTCAAACAGACCCCCTCTCACCTCCCGTGCCATTATTCTGGAAGACACCTGTTATCCCAAGCACAATAATTTCTTTGGAAACTGAGTGCAGCTCTGCTTTGATCCCTGCATCCTTGGTAAATTCTTCAGGAAAAGAGAACTGTTGGTTCCAGGAGAGATTAACACTGAGGTTGCATCCTTTTTAAAGTGATCTCTGCGTACAGCTCTGCTTCCCACTGCTTGACAGGGGATGAAGAAAGTCCCTTTTTTTTTGTTGGTTTTTTTTTTTTTTTTTTGAAGATCAGGACAGTTTCTTTTTTTCCCTTGAAAGGCTCCAACCCTGTGTTGTCTTTGTTTTGCTCCATGCCCTTTGAAACACACCGAGCCAGCAGGCTCCAAGACCCCCCAGCCCGAACGAGCAACACGGGAATGTTTTAGACAGAACTTTCTTGTGGTTTTTTTTTTTTTTTTTTTCCTCTTTTTATTATTGTTCCCACTTAAGACCAAATTCAGCAACTCCCTGGCACACACATGAAAAACTCTCCTCGCAGAATGCCTCCTCAACAAAGCCCAAATGTGCCTGCATTACATCTACAGCCATCTACAAAATACTGAAAGCCAGACCTAGTTTTTTCTGAGATACTTCTGTGGCCAAGAGGTAGAGAGAAAAAAAAATGCCTCATAACAGTCTGCCATTGGAAAAAAAAAAAACTGGGAAGGACAAACACACTACCCTCTTTCCCTGTTGCAGAGTGCTGTGGGAAGGGACACGACTGAGCTCCCCAAAGCACCCCGAAAAGTCCTGACCCCGGTGGCAGGATTCTCCTGCTCAGGTGCAGCACCTTGTTACGGGGAAGGCAGAGGCCTCTGAGCAGCTTCACAGATTGAGCAGGTGGTTTCTCCCTCCTCCCCGTGGCTGGAGAACGCGGAGCTGGGCTCTAAAGGCAGCAGAGGATGGCCAGTCTTGTCTGAAATCAGGAGCTGGCTGGAGGATTCTTGCCTTGTGGGGCAACAGCGCTGGAAAAAGAAAGAGACAGTCACGTCCAGCAGGCAGCAGGAGCCACAAGAGACAGTCACGTCCAGCAGGCAGCAGGACACCAGGAGCCACAAAAAACATAGAATCATAGAATGGTCTAGGTTGGAAGAGACCCTTGGGATCATGGAGTCCAACCATCTCCCCTACTCTACAAAGTCCTCCCCTACACCATGTCCCTCAGCACTGCATCTAAACGGCCCTTAAACACAGCCAGGGATGGTGACTCCACCCCCTCCCTGGGCAGCCTGTTCCAATGCCCGACCACTCTTTGGGTGAAAAATTCCTTCCTAATGTTCAATCTAAACCTCCCCTGTTGGAGCTTGAAGCCGTTCCCTCTCGTTCTGTCACTAATGACCTGTGAGAAGAGACCAGCACCAACCTCTCTACAGTGTGGAAAATGGGAAAGATTGAGGACTCCCACAAATAAAATCTCACTGTTTGCAGCAGGAGAATGGCTTAGGCCAGCACACCTTTCAGTGCAGACCCAGAGCAGAACCCACCAGCCCCAATCTCTGCACCCACACGCCACTGTGAAAACCACTAAAAATGCTGTGGGCTGCACAGAACGTGACTCTGCAGCCAGGAAAATACAGAATCTGAACCAGCAGCATCTAAGGCAGAGTCATTCTGCAGAGACAGAGCCTCTCTCTTCACTGTGGTGGTTTTATCAGGGATGGGCATTGGGGAATTTTTTCACCACTGCCCGGTCAGACTCCAATCCCAACCCCCTTCTCAGGAGAGACAAATACACTGCACTCAGACAATCTGCTGGAAGATATTTTAGTAGCTGGAGTTCAACTGCAAACACACACACACAAAAAACCCCACATCATCATTCTGCTGCTGCTCATCTCCCTGGAACTGTGCCCAAAACCCACCAGATCCACGACAGAGAACAGCACCAAAGGCAGCCTCTCGCCTACTCCATCGCGGCTGCATCATCTCCCTCCAAACGCCTTTGACACCACAAAGATTTCATGTATTACCCGACCAAACGTTGGTTTTGTTTTATTTTTTAATGAGGAAATAAATTATTTTCCAGTTAACCTTTTGCAAACAAGATTATTTGCTTCCCAGTAAACACAGCCAGAAGATGAGGGGAAGGGAAGCCGCGTGCTCTTTCAAACAATGGTCTAGAATGATATTACTGAGATAATGTATTTGCACGGGGCTGTGTTAGGTCACCAAAGCCCCCCCTCCCACCCCCCCCAGCCAGGATGGTCACTGGGATAAACAGTGTCACATCCCCCCTGGTACCTGCGGCCCTGGGCGGCGTTGAGCTGGTCCTTCATGGCGATGGCGTGTTTGAGGAGGCTGTCGATGCTCTTGAAGTACACGCTGCTGTCGGTCATGTTCTTGATGGCACTGAAAGGAGAAAAGAGGCCGAGGGGTGGAGGGAGATGGAGGCCTGGGTAGTATTTCTGAAAGCATCATGTGGTTTTAGCACACACACACCCACCCCCCAACAGAGAGGACTGTCAGCCTGGAGAAAAGGAGGCTGAGGGGAGACCTTCTCGCTCTCTCCAGCTCCCTGAAAGGAGGGTGTAGCCAAGGGGGTCGGTCTCTTCTCCCAAGGAACAGGCGATGGGACAAGAGGAAACAGCCTCAAGTTGCCCCAGGGGAGGTTCAGATGGGATAGGAGGAAGAATTTGGGCACTGAAAGGGTTATTAAGCCTTGGAATAGGCTGCCCAGGGAAGGGGTTGAGGCACCATCCCTGGAGGGATTTAAAAAACGGGTTGACCTAGTGCTGAGTGATGGCTCAGTAACGTTTTTTTTATCAGAGTTAGGTTGATGGTTGGACTCGATGACCTTAAAGGTCCCTTCCAACCCAGATAATTCTATGAGTCTATGACTGTTAATAAGAAACCTCAAGTTTCTATGGATCCTCAAACCTTAGCTGGCTGGTGGGTGGATTTAGGGGCAGGAGATTGGCAGGTCTGCACCGCGCATGGAAAAGGGGAAGAGCTGTCGCACTCATCACAAAATTCATGGTGAGGGTTCAGAGAGCACTGACCCACACCCTCAAACCCCCCTGCCTCACACCAGAGCAAGAACAGGCGGTTTCTGCCTTGTTGGTCGACTGTCGGCTGAACAGGAGCCAGCAGTGTGTCCAGGTGGCCAAGAAAGCCACCAGCATCCTGGCCTGTGTCAGGAACAGCATGGGGGGTAGGGCCTGAGAGGTGATTGTCCCCCTGTACTGGGCACTGGTGAGGCCTCACCTTGAGTGCTGTGTCCAGTTTTGGGCCCCCTACCATAAAAAAGACATTGAGGGGCTGGAGCGGGTCCAGAGAAGGGCGACAAAGATGGTGAGGGGTCTGTCTGGAGAGTAAGTCTTATGAGGAGAGGCTGAGGGAGCTGGGGTTATTCAGCCTGGAGAAGAGGAGGCTGAGGGGAGACCTTATTGCTCTCTCCAACTCCCTGAAAGGAGGGGGTAGAGAG